CTGTGGCTCAAGTGGTAGAGCGCTAGCCTTGAGCTGAAGAGCTGAGGGACAGCGCCCAGACCCAGAGTTCAGACCCCACGCCTGACAAAAAAGTGAATGAATAAATAAATAGCTGAATGACTAAACAAACAAACTGGAATTAGAACGCAGGTGTCTTAGCTTTGGTTGAGTGCTTTTCTTGCTAAACCACCTGGTTGAAAATTAGCCTAGGAAGTTAAGGCCAAGGGAGTATTTTGAACCCCTGAAGAATGCAACCCAGGACCCAAGGAATCGTACCACAGGCAGAGACCTGCCTTAGGTGTCAGGCAAGGGGTCTATTTTAAAATGTCATTCTAGGCTCTGTGTGACTTTGGACAAGTCCCTTTACGTCTCTGAGCCTCAATTTTCCTGAGAAACACAGAGGGATACCTTGCCTAAAGATAAGGGAGAAACTGCTAGATAGTGTGATGTAGGCAGATGTGTTTGAAAAAAAAATGTTTACTCTTGTGCCAGTATGGGACTTGAACTCAGGGCCTTCCAGTATTGGTTGGCATTTTCATTCAAAGTTCTCTCCCTATCACTTGAGCCATACCTCCATTTCTGGCTTTTTGCTAGTTTACTGGAGATGAGTTTCATGGCCTTTCTGGGCTCGGCTGGCTTTGAACCTTGATCCTCACATCTCAGCCTCCTGAGGAGTTAGGATTCCAGGCCTGAGCCACAAGCTTCGAAAAACGTGTTTTAAGGTTACATTTGAGGATCAGGAATCATTGATGGCTCTTGAGGTTTGTCTCTGTTCAAGCCACCGCCACTTCATGTCTGGCTGGAGAAAAATCGAAAAGGAAGCTGAGACTACCTACCTGGTGTGGGTGCTTTCTCCGTCTTCCCCTTCCACACGGCTGCGTAGCCATCTTCGTGTTTATTGAAGGCCACAAGCTTCACCTCGTAGAGCTGGCCAGGGACTGAAGGTCACAGGGGTCACTCACTAGCTGGAGGGATCTTGGGGGGGTTACTCACCCCGTCCCCAGAGCACATAGTCCCTCTCCAACTCCTAAACCCAGCCTGTCTGACCCTCCCCACCCAGAATCTCCCCCGGGACCTTCTCACCTAGCTGGGTCAGTTCATACTGCTTCACTTTCTTCTTGAGCCGGACAGGACCCACATCCCAAGCCTGGTCTCCACGGCCCCCTGGTGGACGATCGCCATTTGCTTCCTCCTCAGCTCCTACTTCCCGCCAGTAGAGTTTGTAGCCAGAGATCTGGGTGGGGTGAGGGGGTGGCTGCCATGACACCACCAGGGACTCCATCCGTGCCCGCACCTTCAATTCTGCAGGGGCAAAAGGGACTAGGGGTGGGGGGGGGCGAAAAGCAGGATGGGAGATGAGGAGAAAGAAAATGGGCATCTGGGACTGGTAGCTCACACTGGTAATCCTAGCTACTCAGGAGGCTGAGATTTGAGAATCACAGGTCAAAGCCAGCCCAGGCAGCAAAGTCCATGAAACTCTTATCTCCAATGTAACCACAAAAAGCTGGAAGTGGAGCCAGGCGCTGGTGGCTCACGCCTGTTAGCTACTCAGGAGGCTGAGATCTGAGGATCGCGGTTCAAAGCCAGCCCGGGCAGGAGAGACCGTAAGACTCCTATCTCCAATAAACCACCGGAAACCGGAAGTGGCGCTATAGCTCAAGTGGTAGAGTGCTCGCCTTGAGCTGAAGAGCTGAGGGACAGCGCCCAGGCCCAGAGTTCAAGCCCCACAACCGACAAAA